AGGATTTAAAGAGCCCTTCCTGTAAATAAAATCAATTCTTTTTCTATACAGGACTTTGTTTTGTTGTTGTTGTTTTTTATATGAAGTGAAGAGTTACAGTCGTCCTAAAATGTATTCATCTCCTTCCATTAAAGAAAAGGCAAAATTCACAGCAGTCACTCAAATAACTAGAAACGGAAAAAAGTAATAATAAATAAAAATTCGCTAAATTAAAATTTAGTGAAATAAGACATTGCTTTTGAATTGTGGTTGAAAAGAATAATACAAAAATAAATAAAAAAATAAGAGTACTGTTAATGAGCAGTGGGCCAAAATAGCTGCCAACAGGTGCAGAAAACACTTGATTGTAGTGATTGGCTCAAAGGGTTGTCCAACTAAATCATGCTTGTTTTTTATTTTTATTTTTATTATTATTATTATTATTATTATTATTATTATTATGTTTCTGTTGAACCACAATTCAAAAGCTAAGTCATCATTTTTATTACATTTTTATTCATTATTACTTTTGGCAATTTCATGTTTTTTGGGTGCCAGCTGTTAAATTTGAGGACGACTGTACATTTGAGTCATTTTTCAGGCAGGAAGTTTAAAAAAAAACATAGAAAAATGTAACTTTGATACACAGAGATGATGTTTTTAGAGGTTTAAGCAACATCCAGAGTGGGACTTTAACAATATTTAACTCAAAATCTGAGGATTTATTGGGTTATTTGCTTAACTCAGATGGGTAAAACCTCAAACTACATGTTCAGGAGCTTTGATGGCAGTATTAAGGGCAGTACATTTTATCTTCTGTTTTATTTCTTTATTGTCTTTTAATTGTCTTTTTTTTACTGGGTTTTATTTTTCTTTATATTTTTATATTGTTTAATTGTCTTTCATGCTTTATGTGCTTCACCTTCACCATTTTCTCATTTATTCATTTATGTATTTTTTGCTTTTTACTTCTTTTAATGTTGTTTTCCTCACACGTCTCTCTGAATCTGTACAGCACTTTGTAACCCTGTGTTGAAAAGTGCTATATAATAAAGTTTATTATTATTATTATTATTGATGTAAACTCAAGAGGTTGGGTCGATTTTGTCAACTGTAAATTAAAAGAAAAGAAAAAAAAAAGCACAGAAGGTGGTAGATTTTTTGCACAAAAACAATACATTTATTCAAGTGTTCTCCAGCACAAGTACATACGGAGCCTTTATCTTCTCTCTGGACACTAAACATAAGT